AATTCACACTGCTATAATTCCCAAATTTTGCCTGCAGAGTCTCTGACTCTGAGGGCTGCCAAGGAGGGATTGGGACTGCTGCTAACGTTAAGTGACACATGCTACATCTTAATAAATGTCATTTACAAACTAGGAAAATACACCGATCACAAATCTGGAAAGCTTATAAAATAACTTTCTTTAAAACCTCACTGTGCTTAAGAGTTTTCAGCACAGGGAAATCTACTACTTATAGACATAGATTGTCCCACTTTCAGGCAGTTCTAAATATTAAAAACTCCCTTACATAGAATCTAATCTGCTTGTCCTTATAATTGCAACAATTCACTGATGTTCCATTACACCTCAGAACAAGTCCGGTTCCTCTTCGCAAACAACCTTTTAAATATTGCAAGACTTTCATGACCCAGCCCTCCAAATATTGCCTCATCTGGCAGTAAGAAGGGCTCTAAAGCAGCTCTTACTATTTGATTCCGTAATTCCATTTTGTAAAATGCAACAAACGAAAGTGACTCCAAGTGAGGAGCACACTTTTACAAATCTGTCCATACCTTTGCTTTGTGCAACAGAAAACTTTAATACAAATTCCCTAAAATAAAAAACAACTACACAAATAGCGACCAATTATTTAACACTTTCACTAAAGATAACATATGCAAAAATTATCCTGATGCATAGAAATATGTGGGCAACACTACATGAAGCAAACAGAACATAAAACTGCACTTTCAGGGCTGGGGATTTAGCTCAGTGGTTCTGCTGCCTGCCTTGCAAGCACGAGGACCTGAGCTTGATCCCCAGTACCAAAAAAAAAACAAAACAAAACAAAACAAAAAGCTGTACTTTCAAATGGGTTTGAGTTTTGGACATCAGCCAGTTCCATAAGTGCGTCTGGAGTCTCCAGAAGTCCCTCATCAAGCTATGTGTGCTCGGGCGCAGTGCACTTAGGGCTGACTCGGAGGATGGCTCCATTTGTTTTCAATCCTGTCCTGTGTAGCTTCCATCTGCAAACATCCTCCAGTGACAAAGAGGAATGCAAGGGCTGCGTCCAGGAAGACAGGAAAATAATGTGCCTACTCCAAGCCGCAAATTCCCATGCTTGTTCCCGTTTTCACCCCTTTTTTGTTTCCGCCACCATTTCTGTCTGATGGGGCTTTTTGCTCTCTGTGCAGTCTTCGCCTGATTTCATAGCTCCAAGGGCCTTTTCAGACACTGACTAAGAGAGACCACTGGCAAAACAGTTCAAATTTCTTGCTTTGCAAAGTTTAATTTTAGTTGGGGATTTAGCTCAAGTGGTACAGTGCTTGCCTAGCAAGCACAAGGTCCTGGGTTTGATCTCCCACACACACACACACACACACACACACACTCACTGGCAAAACAGTTCAAATTTCTTGCTTTGCAAAGTTTAATTTTAGTTGGGGATTTAGCTCAAGTGGTACAGTGCTTGCCTAGCAAGCACAAGGTCCTGGGTTTGATCTCCCACACACACACACACACACACACACACACACTCTCTCTCTCTCTCTCTCTCTCTCTCTCTCTCTCACATACACACACACACACAACACACATTCACACAAGTTCATTCTTAGGTTACATGTGGCCCGGAGTGGGTCTATCATAAGACAGACAATAAACAAATAAATACATGGTCAGATAGAGATGAATATTGTGAAGAAACGGAATAAGTGAGAGCCCACTTTTGACTGCATGGTCAAGGAGGACCTTTAAGATAAGTACACTTTAGTTCAGGATGAAATGTGGGAAAAAAGGCTCCAGGGAGAAGCAAAAAGAAAGCAAAAAGCTGCCAAATTAGGAATAAGCAAGGCATGTTAAAAGAACTGAAAAATCAGCTGGATGTGGTGGCACATGCCTGCAATCCTAGCAAGTCTGGGAAGCTGAGGCAAGAGAATTGCAAGTTCAAATCCAGCCTGACAATTTAGCAGAGACTTAGCAAGGTCCTGTCTCAAAATAAAAAGGCCTGGGGATGTAGCTCAGTGTGCAGGCCCCATATTCAATCCTCAGTACTGAAGAAAAAACAAACCGAAAAGTCACTCTGGGCAGAGGATCACTGCTGCCTACCACGTCGGAGGAGTGGTAAGTGATGAAGGTGGAGAGGCAGAAAAGGAGTCACAATGCAGGCAAGCAGCCCTTAGAAGAGGCTGATAAGATCTGTCTTGGATTTTTATTTATTTGGTACCGGGGACTCAACTCGGGATCTTGCACTTGCGAGGCTGGCGGCAGTACCACTGAGCTAAATCTCCAGCCCTGTTCTTATATTTTTAAAAACATTATAAATATATTTATTTGCATTACTGTAGATCAAACCCAGGGATGCTCTACCACTGTACTATACCTCCAGCCCTTCTTGATTTTATTTTGAGACAGGGTCTCACTAAACTGCCCAACTTGTGGCTCTCCTACCTCAGGCTTTCTGAATGCTGGGATCACGGGCGTGCACCACCACACCTGGCTTTAAGAAAATGTCTTTTCTCTTTACTTTTACTTTTTCTTTTGCAGTGCTACGGATCACACCCAGGGCCTTATGCACACAAGGCAAGTGCTCTATTTCTAAGCTACACCCCCAGCCCCTTGAGTCAGATTTTTAAAATTTCACTCTGGCTCTGTGCAGAAAATGGCTTATCAGGAAGTCAGAATGGAGCTGGTAGACCAGAGTGGGAATTAATGCACTGGCAGGACAAGATGTTGGAGGTATGCACTTTGGTGACACTTAGAGAACACAAGTTAGAAAATTTGTAAAGGAATAAAGACCAAAATTAATGGGAAATTAATTCAAAAAATAGAATTAACATGTTTATGTATTCTCCAGGTTTATCCTAAAATAACTAAGTATCTATGGAAGGCACAGCTAACAAAAACTACACCTAAAATTCTCCTTAAGTCCTTTATTAATTATTCCTTAAATTGAAGGCTCAGAACAGAAGCAGAGCCCTAGTTGCTGCTTGTCTCCTGGTAAAGCGTGAGCAGCCTAATTCTCCACACTAGAATAGCTGCTATAGCTCTTAATCCATATCAACCAGGCAATAACCAGTACAGACACAGATGTTTCTTCCGCCTCGCCCATGTGTCTCTATAAAAACTATAATGGAAACTTCTTCTTTCCCAGAACCAGGGATTGAACTCAGAACCTTGTGCTTGCCAGGGAGGCACAGTGCCACTGAGCTACATCACCAGCCCCTCTTCTTAGACATTATTTTACCAATTACTCTAGAACAAGTCTGGGGTGGGAGCAGGGTATGGGTTTTCTTGATCAGTTTTAGAAATTATTTTAGCACTGACTATTACAAAAACAAATGTAGCACTTTTAAATGTGATGTTTAGGTCTTTCAAAAAAGTGAGGTTTGTTCAGAGCCCTTTTAAGGAGTTTGGCAGCCGAGATGAAGCCCTGATAACTCAGGAGTATGAAAGCTTTGGACTCTGGCTGGATTCAAGTCCTGGCATCTCCACGTACTGTGTAGTTCAGAGCAAGTTATTTAACTTCAGTAAGCCAGAATTTCATCCATAAACTGGGAGTTGATAAGCACCATAGAATCTACAATTAGGAGATATGATGAGAGAGGTTTGTGGGTGCAGGGGAGGGTCTCTAAGCCTGCTCTCTTTGCAGCCTCCAATTTCTCCATTATAGCCTTACCCTTTCATATCTCCTTCCAAAACCACACACAACAAAACAAACTTCATTGTGTATGTGTGCACGGGCACACACTTTTAGATAAGAGCTGCATTCTCTACAGAAAGTAATATTTAACCACTGAAAGTACATATGTCATTTACTTAAAATAAACCTTTGTAATTTAGCCTAAGTTTAAAAATTCCTGGAGGCAGGGATAACTGCATTCCAGGCTCTGTATTCAAACTCTCTTATTCCACCAGTTCAAAAACTCTCAGTGGCTCCCTTTTTTTTTCCCCCATGGAAGGGAGGATCCACTCTTTTTTTTTCTAGAGTTCATGGCCTATAGCCAGCTCCATTTATACTCCATTAACTAGTTGTGGGAATCTTGGACTCTACCAAGTGTCCCCCTAAAGAACTTGCTTAAGTATAAGGAATCTAAAACCCAGTAAGGGAAAGTTTACACTCTCTGAACACTGCAAGAGGGTGAGCTGGACTTGAGACAAGGGATGAACAAGGTTCATAAAACATTCCTGGGAAAGTTTCCTTAAATGCTGACTTCTACAACTGGCAACTGGGCAATATTTACCGAATGAACACCAGGGGGTAGCAAAATCTCACTCTCTTGGCTAATTACAAGGAACCTGGAAAGGCTGGGTGACTGAGGATCACCTAACTGGTGGTTGTAAAGAACATCTCTATAGCTCTACTGTGCTGAGAAGATGCTCACCAGGGTTTGCTACCCCAGATTCCTTTTTGACGTTTTGGAGCAAAGGGATCGTCTCATCTCCAAGAAGGATGCACGTTCCTCTTCTTTTCTGGACCCAGCAGATGGGGGAAAGGGTGTAGTTTAGAGTCCTGGGGAGTAGAGTAGAGCCTGTCACCTTGGAGACGACCTCCTCTCCTTTCCTCTTCTTCCAACAACTTGCCAGAGGCTCTGGGCTTCCAGCCTCTTAGGAACTGCATCGAGCAGGAGACTTTCTAACGCATCATCCCTCAACTGCAGTGGCACATGCCTTCAAGTCCTCGGGGTCTATTTGGTCGGTTTTCCCATATCTTCTCAAAGGCCCATCCTTTGGTGGGGTTCACCGTGAGGCCAGGCATTCTCACTCTGGTGCGGGTACAGAGGCAGGACAGAGCGCACGGGCGCGCACACACACACATACACCCCACTGCCCGCCACTGCCCCTCGCTGTTCCTGTGTCTCCACCATTTCTCTGGAAAGGTTCATTTCCTGCCCAGAGGTGGTGGAGGATGCTCATGGTTTGGTAGTGAAGGACAGGGCATGGGACTACAACTTTCTTATCCCGCCTACCGCCTTTGGCTACTGCGTGGTCCCCGCGGCCACAAGGCCTAGTGGCCCTGAGACATGTGGGCTAGTGGCCTTGGGACATTATCGCCAGGGCACAAGGAAGGACAGTCTGGCATCCGGCACCGATTCATGAGTTCCGACCGGGAAGCTAGAGCCCTGCCTCCTCTAGGGAAGGGGGATAGAGAACGCAGTGGAGAAAGGGCAATCGAGGCAAGAACTCGGAGAAAGTTCGCGATGTGCCCGACTCTGATCTCCTCAGCCGTGATACCCCCATCCCCCAACCACAGTCCCAAGCTTTCAAGGCTCTGCTCTGTACCCCGCCTTCCCCAGGCAGCACTGGGGAGCCTATTGTGGTAGCCTGGGAGGTCAAGCCCAGACAGGACGACAGGAAAGAAGGGTGGGCAAGGCCTTGGGCACTTGAGGGAATCCGAGTCTCCCACTCTCCACTTTTCCCAAAGGAGACAAGGGCCTGGAGTCTCTTGTGAGCCCCGGGTCCTTCCAAAGTCTGGCAATCGATGGGGAGAAGAGTCCTTCGGCGAGTTTGAGGTATGAGCACGTTTTGAGGGTGGGGGGCGTCTCGGGCAGGCGACGGTGGGGAATCCACGCACACCGAGACTCGGGAATCCCGTGCAGCGGTTGAACGGATGCCGCGGGGAGCGAGGCGATGGCGGGAAAAGAGGGGCGTCCTCTGCGGGGCGGGCCTCCGAGGGTCAGGGTCCGGGCTCCGCACGGCTGGGCGGGGCGGAGGAGGAAGCGGGAATTTGGCTGAGAGGGGCGGATTGGCTGGAGACTTCTGGGGAGCTGCGGGGAGG